AATTTCAGCTAGTGAGGAAGAGGCAACTTGTCTCCTGAGGAGCCTAGTCCTAGCTTGGGGAGCTTTTTACAAATTAGGGCTGATTTGAGCTTGTTTGCTGGCCACTGCTGATAAGATGCAGCAAGCTGTGGTCGGTGGATATGTTTTCTTGCTTTGGCTTACACAAGCACACTAAGCCTGAAGGGATGACTGGCAAGAATAAGGTGCTTTTGGTGGAGGAGACCACCTCTAGGCAAGCATGCAACTTAGAAAAGTGTTCCTTAAAAAAACATTCAGCAGCCCACAACTCCTGGAGCAACAAACAAAGCCAGTCTGACGCCGAGGTTTGTGTACCATCTCAGTAACCAACAGCCAGTTAATGCTGGATTCTTCTCCAAGGCATTCTCCTCCTCCCACAAATCCTGTGGTTTCCACAACACACACAGATTTGTCAAACAGAAAATAGCACTGTTTTGCTTTATGCTAATGTTTAAACATGATTTGTATTGAGCTATTGTATAAACATTGGTTAAGAACTAATTGGGTTTTTTAAATGGATTTATGTCCTGTTCACAATTGCCAGGAACTATCAGTGTGTTGAGGAGAAAAAAAGATTCCTTCAGTTTTGACACACAGCAGAGGATTTTAAATAAAGCAGACAACTGAAACAATCACAAGATCTCCAATATTTCAAGGAGATTTTCAGTATAAGAAGGGTCTGCTGGCTGTCTCAGTAGTGCCCAACAACCTTAAAGCAACCCCAGAGGCAGTAAGTTCCACCAGCAGGAGTAATTTCAGCAGCACACTGCAATAAAACAGTGTTGCAGAAGCTGGAGGGCAACACAAGCAGGTACCAAGCCCACAGAGGAATCCCAAACTGCAGAAGCAATCCTTCCAGCTTGTGGAAACAGCCCAAAGGTCCCCATGATACCTCCTGTTTCTGTGTTGCTGTTGTTGTGCTCTCAAGGAAAGGTTGCTCCATCGGGGCTTTCCCACACCACATCAATAGCCAGCTGCAGGTTGGGACAATGGGAGCAATTTAAAGCTGGAAAAATTGAAGAAGCCAAAAGCTTCTCTGGCATAAAGTCAAAGTTTGATGAGCTGTATTTAACAGCCTTAGAATCTGGGGGGGTAATTAATAAGTAATTTAATAATGAAAAGGAAAGAGAAGGAAGGGCAGAAGGAAAGATTCTGCAAATAAGCATAACTCTCTGGAGCTCACTGAGCCCTGAAAAGGTTTCCTAACAGGACAGTGAGGGCAACAGAATAGAGTCAGGCATTATCAGACAGACACTTGTCAGGCATTCTGGTATTTGAATCATACTGCTGCTTGATGGGCATAGCATTAAATTCCCTTTTTCAGGTGCAAACTCTATTTTAACCCTTTGCCCTGGAAACTTATAATTCCTTTCTATTCAAAATGTAATTAAATCAGAAAATGCAGAAGTGTCTAGGGATATACTTTTATGGTTTAAAAAAACATAAAAGTTCATCTAGTAAGGGGTTATTTACAAGGAATCTGGTTGTTGATTACCATCTTGTGTAGTAAGATCAAAACCAACAATTCTGGTATCTGGTTATCTAGACAATAATAAGAGTTAAATCTGCATTCATGGAACAGAAAAGTCAGAATTTTTAAGCACAATTGCCACTCTGTTGTAGGCCTGGACCTACTCTTGAACACAATCCCAAATCAGCAGATTTTCAGACTAACATCTAAAATTACACAAAAAATGTTATTATCAAAAGGGGTTTTTCACCCCCTGGCTCAGACAGAGACAGGCTGAATTTAACTTTTTGCCCAGTACTAAATATGAAGGGATGGGATTAGGCATTTTTCAGAGGAAGGAAGGGAGGGAGGGAGGGGGAAGGAAGGAAATTACAAGATAACCACCTCCCCAGTTCTGATCTGTTGTCTGCTCCTCACTCCTCTGGGAGATGTCAGACTCCACAGCAGTTCTTGTCCTCAGTTTGCAGAGTTATTAAACACAGCACGAAGTCTCAGCACTGGTAGTTGTGGAAGAAATAGGTTGGACTGAGCTCTGGCTAACCACACAAGCACTCCACAGATGCACTTTCTCACATGCCATGTGCTAAAACACTCCTTAGGTAAAGCCAGCAGAGCAGGACACGCAGCCTTAGGGTGAAGGCAGACAGCTTGCAACCACAGAAATAGCTCAGGTAGCCAGTAAATCAATATTTGTGTGTTATTGTTCTCACATACATCCCATTTGCTGATCCAACACTTGTTCCCGCAGAAACAGGATCAGAGCGGCCACCAGCAGCCAGCAGGCAACCAGAGCCAGCTCCCCTGGAGCCAGCCACAGGTGTGCTGCCTCCAACCAGCAGGCAAAGATCTATGACTTCTTTTAATTAAGGAATAATCCCTTTACATTACAAAAGGACTTGTAGAAGGGGGCATGGCTTCCTCCAGCATTTCTACTCCTAGGCAAAATATCACAGCTCTCTCTCTCCAGCACACAGCAGCTGCTTTGCGTGACTCCTTACCCTATTTCTGAGCAAACCAGACCAAGAAGCACCATCTTCCTATGTGACTGGCAAAGAGGTTCCCTTCTTTTACAGTACAAGGAAATGGAAACTAAGAGGAAACCAAGGATGTTTTCTGATAGTGTGCATTCAATCATACTCTACACCTCAGTCTATCAGAAGCAGTCGTCATGTTGGGACAGCAGCAACTTGGCAGCTGTGAGGATGTCAGAGATGGGCTGCACCCAAGGGTCCTGAGAGAAGAGGTTGCTGTTCTAGTGGTCTGCTCTCTCTTGTCTTGGAAAAACCATAGAGACCAGGAGATATATCGAACACCTGGAGCAAGGCAAGCGTTGCACCCACCTCCAGAAAAAGTCTAAGGACAATATAGTGAGTTGTCAAAGAGTGGGGATAAGGGATGGCTGGCCTGCCTTGACCAAAGGACTACAGCTTTTAATCATACAAATAGCCCCACCAGTCCCCCACTGTAGTCTTGCATAAGGGGAAGTTGGATGCTATTACATTACCAAAAAAAAAAAAAAAGAGAAACATGTAATTCCCCTCTGCATTCCCAACCATATATTTGTAACTTTTGTACAAAATAAAAAAATCTTCATGTACTTAAAATCTGCGCAAGGTAAAATAAACAGTCACCCCAAGTCATTGATCTGCAATCCAGCCCATTAGAAAAGCTCATGTCAGGATTATAACACTAGATCTGACAGAAAAATCTTCTAGAAAATATATGCATGGATGACCAACTTCTAGAAGCCTTTGTCAGCTCTACAGACAACTCCTACAATGGGCCCAACATGCCAGCCTTCTTTTTTACCCCTTATCTCAGCCAGCAAATTAATTTTATTAAATACACAATCTTTCTTCAGTGGGTTACACAAACAAAATACACACAGTTAATTAATGCTGCAGTCATTTCTTTGATCTTCCAATGAAAACAAAATTTAAAAGTCATACTATTTCAGCCTAGAAGCTTAGAGTTAAAAAGCTTAGGAACTCATCCGGGATTTTGAATCCAAGAATCATTGGGCTGATGTCATTAAAAGAGCTGAATTAGACTTGTAATTATTCCCTGATGAGCTCTGCTGTCTATCTGAGAAAGAAGGGTATTCACTTCTGTCCTCAAAATTGATTTACTTTAGTGAAAAAAACAGAAGGGTTGGGGAGAGCAAGAACTTGGTTTTACTGTGCATCTGATAGAATACAAGAAAATAAGTGTCAATAGTGAACAAGATCCCTGCCAGTCAATAGGAGCCATACCTTCTGTTTACATGGCATGGCAGTTTCCCTGAGATCCTCAGCATAAATCCTATCTCCACAGTTCCAGCTGGCTGTCCACTGCTTAGTGCAATAGCACTTCATTAACATGCAAATGCTTGACAGTTATTGGGCTTAAGTACATCTGCATATTTATAAACAACCATTCCAAACCACATCCCCATTTAAGGAAACTGCTTAATGGCACTGAACCTAAAGTCTCTCTCGTATCCATTAAACAATAAGCTGCAGCCAGTACCATATTTGTATGGTACTTTTTAAAATACTTCTCACATAGCTAGGTCGAAAAAATGTGTCAGTTGGCTTGTTCTTTTTTGGCAATCAAACTTTTATCTTTATTAAACCAAATTTTTCTATTGAAAAGGCAAAAAGAACTCAAAAAAAAAAAAAAGTTATACTTTGGAAATCAATATAAGGCAATTTTATTGCAATAGAACACAAACATCCAGTAAAACATATCTAATGTTTTATCCATAATCTGTAAAACATTCAATCAAAATACACAATCTCTGTATTTTCAAAGCAAAGGTTTAAGAAGCATCAGACAACCAATGCACAGAATTGAAAGTTACCCCAAAAATCTACAGACTTAATTTCCTTGTTCACAACAATAATTCTTCACACCTAAGGATGACTTCTATGTGTCCTCCAATGTCACATAATTGAAGTCACATATCAAACCCAACGTAGACACCCCTACTTCTAGCAGCATATTCTATCCAAAGCATCTGGAATTTTAACGTGAATTCCTGTAAATTTGGCCATGAGCTCAGATTTCTGAAAAAATTTCATGAAAATTACTTTTGTGATAAAAATATTAAAAAAAAAAAAATCAAAAAGCAGAACTTATTTTTAAGTGGACAAAAACATGCCAAAACCAGCATGTCACAAACCAGCCATGAAGTATCAGAGACACCTACACGGACATTTTATGCACATGAACTTTAAAACTTGAGTATTTCATTACAGACAAGAGCTGAGCATGAGCTGTACTTGCATGTGTAAAGAAAGTACAGGTGTGAAAGCCAAATGTCCTCTCTGCAGAAACCTAATCTGGACAATCCCTGGACAATAGGGATTACATAAAAAAGCTCCATTGCATCTCCTGCTTCTGGCCCAATATTTACAGAACCAATTTTAAGGACAATAGTGATGAGGAGAAACTGAAATATCTGAAATGCTAGCACAATAATCTGAAGTGTTACATAAATACCACATTAAAATACAGAATCATAAGCATTGCAAGCTTCATTTTGCTCATATTTAGATGTATCTGTATCACTTCATCAGAGTCAAGTATGTTCTCAGCTCTCTTTGGAGTTCTCTAAGAAGCGTCCAACAAATAAGAAGTGAAGTCCTGGAACAGAGAAGGTACGGCATAATAACTACCATTGCACAAAAAATTAACTTACTAGGACAAAAATACAAAAATTTGTGAAACTGAACCTAAGAATTCATGGTGAGTTTCTGAAGGTTGTATTTTTTGGGAATCTTTTTTAGGTTAAGAAAATGTGCAATAAACACAGATATGCCCAAATTAATAAAATATGAAAAAAATTCTAAACAGCACTCATTAAAAACTAAGTATTTTTCATATACAGGAGCTAAATTTGCTTACATATTTCCCATTCTATGTATAGGAAATGCTGCAGATCAAGAGCAACTACTACAGCAACACAGATGCACATATTTTCATTTACACATGGGATGTTGACGCTCAATTACAGGATCATTCCATATACAATTCACATTATATACTATGATCATTCTCAAAATAAAAGAAAAAACATTTTCCTGAGAAGATAAAACATTTTCATAAGAAGATACTTGTATTGGTTTTGTGTATTTAACACAAACTTTGTTTTCTCCACACTTTATTTTTCATAGCTTACAATTAAGAATAAGAATGCACCCAACTAGGACTTCCTTTGTTCCCATTGCCTAAAACCTGGCCCCATTACAGCACATAAAGGTTGAAGGTTGCATTTTAAAAACTCCCAACATATTTTAAATCTCTTCTTCAGAGCCATGCTCAGAAACATTGTCTCACTGGAAGTCAGTGAAACAACCTTCAATGTCCAAACTTTTAATAAAAATATTGGCCTTAGAAGTCTTCAATGCATTTGTAATTTCTGAAAGTTTTACCACCAGCCTAGAACTTTTCCCTCGGGTATACCTTCCTATAAAGACATTCAAAAGGGCAGGGTTTTTATTGAACAAATACTTGACAATGAAAATACTAGAATGCATGGTGGGATGGTTTGTTTTATGAAAAATGGTTTTGGGGTTTTTTGAAGATAAAAAGTTGAATTATGTGGTTTGAGCTGGCCAATGTACCACTTAGGCATTCATTTTCATTCTTATACCAGTGTTGACACAGCTGATGAAATAAAGACCTTATTGAAGGTAATATACTAATGGCATCTCATCATCAGGACAATTTAATTTTGTGGCAGCTTACTGCTAAGACAGAGAGCTGGTTCTTACACAGCCCTTTGATGATGCTTACCTTACATTTCTCCCTCAACCTTCAAATGAGAGAAATTCTACCTACATGAGATTTAATATCAATGTGACAAAACTCAGCTTCACATAAATGATGAACATGGTATATCAGAATAATACCAGCAAAATGGTGTGGGAGATGCAACATCACATCACTGAGATCCTCACTGAGTTTCTTCTTCTGTACCTCAGTGTGTGCTTACAACTCAGCTCTCTCTGGTAAAGTAAAAGAAAATAATGGATCAAAGAGACTGCAAAAAGACATGAGTGTCTCGCACTTGGGACATACCATGACCTCTGAGTCATGTAATACGTGCCCAGTGTGGGGCAAAAAATAAGGACACTGAGTAGACATTTTGGAGTACACTATAGTTAAAACAACTTTTTATCAGGAGTGCCAGGTGGAGAGGTGCTTGGGAGCAGTCCCTTCTAACTGAGGCTGTGCTATATCTGCTCCTTTCAAGCTCCATCACTCTGCTTAAGGATCAATACCAAGGATTTGGAAGATAGATAAGGTCCAAGAAAGCAAAATATCTGCTCTAAAGAGACACTCATTAGTTTCTTCCTTTGATATCAAGTGTTAACCAGAGTTTATAGTCTTTGAAAAGACCCTGAAAAATCATGTTACCCTTTTAGACAAAGCCAGCTTTGAAGAACACTGAGTAAACAATCTCATTTTAAAAATGAACATTCACACTGTGTTGGATTAAGTTCTAGTTTATTTCTATTACTGAACATCAGAAGAAAAAAAAAAAAAGTATGATATATAAGGCACAGACAGGAATCTGAAATACAGAAAGCAGGTCAGACCCAAGGCATATCTGACCAGCATACTCTTACCAGCATAGCACAGCTGATTATTGCCCACTATGTGCAGGATACTTTGAATATGCTAACAACAGAGCAATTTGAAGAAAATCAAAGTTTAGTACTCTTTCTTAGTCTTCTACAAAACTAAAACGTTTAGCTAAACAGCACCCTCAATTACCAAGTGGGTCAGATATTTTTACTTTCAAAGACCTAGTTTCCAGCAAATTAAATTGTTTGGCCTGAGGTTTTGCTTTTCTATAAATATAAACTTCAGTTTTCACAAACAAATGAATTGAAGAATACACACTGTACACCTGGAGGCCTTTACTTTGGGAAGCCTTAGAAGACACTTGCTTTGGATCAGGAACTGGCAACATGCCTGTCAGTTATGGACATGCCTGTTTTTCTCTTCCTATTTTTTTTTAACTCATAATCTTTTCAGATCCCTATACCTGGTAGAAAATTTAAATCTATGCACAGACACTTCGTCAAAATAACTTAAATTTCAATACATACACTCTCTAAGTTTGTTCTGGAAGGACTTTCCTTGCAATTGCACCTAAAAAGCTGGTGTTAGGCTGCAGAGGATCACTCTGCTACTCAGCTGGTGAAGTACCACAGAGAATTGCAGGAAAGAATTAATTATTTTGCCCTCATATCAGGGCTGGAACAGCATACAGTTAGTGCAATTTGCTCTTATACTGCATAAAGGGAAAACAAGACATCAAATAGCTTGTCAGTTTAAAGAGTGTTTTCTCTTTGAGGGGAGGGAGAGGTGAGAAGGGATGTATATGTAAATGAGGTAGAGAAACTACAGAAGAAAAAGATGCAAGCAAATAATTAAAATCTGTATCATAATGCCTACATACAACATACCCACTGAGATTACAGGACCATTATTGATTCTAGCATCAAACTTTTCAATGTTACATTTTACACCTTAATAACTTTCTTTTAAAATATGTGGTTCATGTGTAATCTCCATTCTAGCACAATGGGCCCAAGATGATTTTTCAAACAAAGATAGACTTTTATCAAACAGAAAGTGAAAACTTCTTTTAAACTCTGATCCCAGTTCTTTGATGTGATCCAAGCAGTTGAATGTCTGAAGCCACACCGTTCCATTTCAGCTTGCACAAAACCAGAAGTTCTTCTGCATGTTATGGTGTACACCTACCTAATGAGTGTTTGTAAGAGCTACATGGTCAGGTGTTAAAGACAGATTCACATTCAGGTTTGACCTGAGTAAATTTTGCAATTTTAAGGTGACACTCCTGAAAGTATTTACTTCTGTCTTCAAAGGCAGTATTTAAAAAATGGAAATGGTCCTTTGACGTGGGGAAGGTATTTGTTGCCCAAGCATTTTTACCTGTGGTTTTTTTTCCAATAAAATTGGGACTTTTGACTTGGTAAGAAAGAGGTTTCTTCAAGAAAAGGAAAAGCTGCATCTTTATTAAATCAAAACAGATTTGGACACTTGTCATTCTCCAAAACGCAGATGATTATGAGGACTAAGACAAGAAGCATAAGCTAAGCAATGTTATTTTTTTCTCTTAAGGCTGTGGCCATCTCATATGTCAGACAGGCATGTATATTATGCACATCCAGCAGGGGACAAAGATCAGAAATTTAAAGGAGCTGTTTGTGATTTTGGATGGGATGTGGCACACAGATGAAAGAGCAAACATTTTTCCCCTCAGTTTAATGCTAGCATTAGATTCCTAAATTAAGCCCAGCAGGAAATAAACATCCACCACAGATTTCAAAAGATATCTCACATCTTTGTATTAAAACGTGTTATTTTAAGAGTCCCAAATGTTGCATGTCTGATTTTTATTAAGTCCAGAGCCAACATAGGAAGTGTTATTTGACTTTAGTTTAAAAGAAAGCAGAAAATATCAGTGGGCAATGGGATGTAAATTGCAGGAAGCCAAAACAAAATTGAAGAGTATGAGATAATGGGCCTGATGCTATTATCTGTAGGAATACTAAGGCCACAGGTTTCAAAAATTTGCTTTGATGACCTTGAGAGCTCACTGAGTCTACAGAATATCAAGTTAGCAGATTTTCCAGGGGGAGTGGAGGGACAACAGTCTCAAATTTTTGTCTTCCAAACAAACTGGGGACATGTTTCTGATATGCATTTCTGATTTCCTGCTATGCTAAATACCTACAATGTTGTACTCCAAAGGAGAACAAAATTAAACATCATTCCACATGTTCCTCACACATTTCATGTATGTAGTTCTTGGTGAAAAGAGTAATTCTATGGCCATATACCAATGCAATTAAAAGTTCCAACTCTGAAAATTCCTTATACAAAGTCTAAAACTACCAGGATAGGATTTTGCCCAGCTCAATCACAATACACTAAACTTTTATTTTGGAGTTTTCAGATACAATTTTTTTTCTTTTCTTTCTCACTGTCTTTGATGATGTTTTGGGATTAAAACAAGGAGTAGACAGTTCCCATGAGATGAAAGACATAACTGCAAAAAAACACTTACTCAGATGATTTAAAAAAAAAAAAAAAATCTCTAGGAGCTTGTTATGTATTTATTTAAAGAAACACTCACTTGAAGGGGCTTAGAGTTCAATATTTTAAATAAGTTTCTGCTTTGGAAATAAAATGCCTTTTTTAATTGCCAAGCTGATCAAAATTATAACAGGACATTCCGATGGTAGACTAAATGTATTTTTACAGACAGAAATAATACCTCCAAGTTCTTCTGCAAACAGTGCCAGTAATAAAACCTAAGCTTCTCTCATTTGTGGCCAATTGCAACTCCCAGCAATCCTTACTCCAGTGACACCATTTCAACAAGGTTCCACACATCCCTCCTCCATCAGCTAACTCCCAGCTGGGCACAGAGGCAAATCCTGAGCCCCAGTTCAAGAGGTTCAGCCAACCTCTCAGGCCAGATGGAGCACAGACCTTGTAGGCTCACAAACCTCTCAAAAAGGACTAAGCTATCTTCCTCTTCTAGCCAGTCCCATATTTCATAGCATTTTTATTGCTTTCCCCTTCCAACTCTGCCCAAACCTCCTAAGGTCAAGGTCTTAATAACCTCAAAAGGTTATTGGGTGAAGGGATGAGGCAAAAGAGGTACAGAGGGAGAGAGGGGGGGGGAAAAAAAGAGAGGAGAAATAAAAAAAAAAAAAAAGTCTTGTTTTCTTTGGGAAGTAGGCTCAAGACTTTGACAGAAGGCAGAATTGTGTGCACATGAATGAGCTTTCTCACACTCCTGAGTCAGCTGACCCATAGGAGAAAGAAGACCTTTGGTTTCTGCTCCTGACACCACTTCTGCATGCAGTGTAAGCCAAGCTGATTTATGTTTCCATTTGTGCAGGCTTAGAATAAGTCCATAGTAACTTACATACATCTTCCACATTGTGGACAAGAGTAATTTGTTAGGGATAACAGGCTTTGAGATCCCTGGGTAAAAAATGCAAAGAACTACCTCAGTAGTTTCTAACTCAGGGCCTGATTGGCACCAGCAGATTCACAGACTACTTCAGGTACCTACATTCACCAGCTTGTGTCTCTAAGTTGCAGGTCTCATTTTAAGTTTCTAATACCTGCAAACTTGAGAAATCCACCTATGTGAGATTTTGGCTGTGAGGCTGATGAGGTATTGGATTTACTATGAACTCAGGTTGAAAATTATGCAGGACCTTAAGAAAATGCTGACAAAACCAGAAGCAAATACCAGTTAACATCCAGAACTCATCTCTCACAAAAGGCCAGTGAAACTACACTTAAAGCACCCTGAATGTTTCAACCTACAGGTGTAATAATTTGGCCCATCTTTGCAAAAGATGAGTTCATCCTTTGCAAGTTTTCTGTTCACATACACTTTAGTAAAAAACAAAAAAAATTGTTTGCTGTTCTTTGCCAACTTCAGAATCTGGGAAAGAATGTTTCTTCCTTTCATTAGATTTCTTATCTTGTTAATCTGCTTAAAGTTCATATTTCTCTACAATCCTAAAATGCAGATTTATCCTTTTATATTTGATCCTGTGTTTCATTCCAATCACTAGGCTATTATGCAGGATTTTCCCTCAAAATTTGCCCAAATATTATGAAGCAGTAGCACTATGTTAAATTGTTCCAGAAGTGTGAAATACAGAATTGTTTTTAAACAAGATTTGCTTTTGTTTTCAAAAGCGGGTGTGATAAATAACTGCTATTTATCACACTGAGTGATGTCACTGTATTAACATGGGCTGTGGCTGTCTCTTGGACAGTAGTCTTGCGTTTAAGACATAAAATATACAGTTAAAATACTTTTGAAATTACAAATGCGAATTCAGTTCTCATGGAAAGTCTGGTTTATTTTTAATGCTGCACTGCCAATAGATCTGTCACTGGAAGCAGTGAAATGCTAGAAGTTTGGTATCATTACCTCAGCATATTCAGGAATTTAAACTGATCAAATTATGGAATTTATTTTAAAGCTTCAGCTTAGGAAAGAAGGGAGGAGATGCCCGGGAAAAAAAATCCGTTCCATCTGCAGAGTGGAATTGATTATATGTTCTGGATGGCTTATGCTCTAGGACTATAAAAAATTGCAGGTGACTTTGGTTACTAGAGAAGCTATTAGTCAGCCTGAATTATTGTCTTATTTTTTTGTAGTGTAGCTGCAAATACCTCCCTCTGTTTTCTTTTTCACTCTCAGAATGTAAACATTCAGAGCTATCATGGAAAGGAACATCAAAAGGTTCAACACAGGAACAAGCTATTCCAGAACATAAGATTCCATCAAAACTAAACTTTTATTTTGCAGCTAGTACACAAGAGAAAGTTTACATCTCCTCTTCTATTAGCTGCTCTTAAGATAATTTCATATAAAGATATATATGATACATCAAAATTTCAAAAAAATATCCAAAGACTGTACCACAGTGTCCAGAGAAAGTCTTACACCCTTCATTTGATGCTTACACACCAAAGACCAAAAGGATTCACTGGGCAGCAGGAAACTATGAAAACAGAATTTAAGAAGAGATTAGAATTCTCTAATACTATCATATCTATGTAATGGGAGATACACAGACTTAAAATCAGGTAATTTAGGAAGTCTAACACACTTCATCTTTATTCCAAAACACACATCATAACTAATACTAAAGTTCACTGAAAGAACAAAATAAAAGAAAAAAATATAAACTATTTTTCTTTATTTATTTTTCCCATCATATACTGACATCCAGTCCCTTAGGACTTGACTACACTCTTTCCACAAGATGCCATTCCCTTTCAATACTCTGAATCAACCATGATAGTTGAACAAGTGTACATTAATTATTTGGCCTTACTCTTACTATTCAGTGTGAAGTCCCATGTCTTGTTTACCATGTACTGTTCAAAGCCTGATTTGAACAATGAATTATTCATTTGCTTGTGGGTTTCCCTACAGTGCTCATCACAACATCTGAATGCATTACAAACATTAAGTGACTCATTTTCATTTTGTGTGACGATATGAATGATATCATTGTATGCACATTACAGAAGCAGGGGCATGACACAGGGATTGTAAAGCATTTGTTAATTCCAAGTACACAAATGGAGGCTTGCAGGAGCAAATTTCTTCAAAATACTTACATTTGTCACACCATTCTAGCCAGTTTCAGTAGCACATGTGGATCATAACCAGAGGTGGTCTCATAGCAGGACTCTAGAAAATGAGGAGGACAATCAGAATTCCCTTATCACATGAAAACATTTTGGTTTTAAACTCTTCTGTGCATTAGATGTGATTATTCAAAAATGGAGACAATGGAGGGAAAGAAATTCTTAGAAGAAGCTGTTATACTGCAGAGGTATAAAAGAAGATAAACACAAAAATCTCAGATACAACAGTTGCACCAATGCACAATAGGAATTTTCACTGTGCTGCTCTTTCAGAGACATATTTCTCTGAGATATCAGAGGATATCTCTTTTTTATTAGACATAGGGGAAATGGGGTGATGAAGGATGAAGGCTGAGGTGCCTTCATGCCTTCTTTTCCTGTCTTTTACAGTCAGACCAGTTGATGTCAGGCTGCCCAGCCCCCTGAGCTTGAAGACAGGGAGCAGAATGAAGCCCCCATTTCCCCAAGGGTAAATGTTCAGTGATCTGCTATGCCATTTAGACATGTGAGTTCATGGAGCCAGATGGAATCCACCCAAGGGTACTGAAGGGGCTGGTGGGGGTGCTCACTGAGCCACTTTCCACCATTTACCAGCAGTCCTTGCTAACTGGGACATTCCCATTGACTGGATGTTAACAAATGGGATGCCCATCTACAAGAAGGACCAGAGGAGGATCTGGAGAACTACAGGTCTGTCAGCCTAATCTTGATGCTGGGGAAGGTCATGGAAGATCAGCTTGAGTGCCATCATGCAACATGTACAGGATATCCAAGGGATCAGGCTCAGCCAGCATGGGTTTGTGAGTGACAGGTCTTCCTTGGCCAGACTTATCTCCTTCTGTGACCTGATGATGGGCTTGGTAGAAGAGGGGAGGCCTGTGGATGTCTGGTTGTTAGTAATGCCTTTGCCACTGTTTCCCACAGCACTCTTTCAGAGAAACTGGATGCTAATGGATTGGAGGGGTGCACTGTTCACTGAGTAAAACACTGGCTGGATAGCCAGGCCCAGAGAGCGGTGGTGACAGGCCAGTCCTCTTTAGCATCTTTATTGAGGACCTGGACAAGGGCACTGAGAGCACCCTCAGTCAGTTTGCAGGCAACACCAAATTGATGGAGTGGGAGTCTCAGTCTGGGGGAGGATAGGAAGTCTCTACAGAAGGATCTTGGACAGGCTGTATTGATCGGCTCGGGCCAGTCGTATGAGGTTCAAAAAGGCGAAGCTCTGAGTCCTGCACTTGGGTCACAACAAGCCCAGGCAGTGCTACAGGCTGGAGCAGTGGCCAAAAAGTTGACCGGCAGAAAAGAATATGGACATGCTTGTTGACAGCAGCTGCACATGAGCCAGGGGGTGCCCAGGTGGCCAAGAAGACTAGTGGCATCCAGGCCTGTATCAGCAATAGTGTGGCCAGCTGGAGCAGGGAAGGGATTGTCCCCCTGTACTTGGCACTGGTGAGGCCACACCGCGAGCTCTGCGTTCAGTTCTGGGCTCCTCACCACGAGGGGCTGGAGCACGTTCAGAGAAGAGCAATGGGAAGGGTCTGGAGAACAAGTCTGATGAAAAGCAGCTGAGGGAGCTGGGGGTGTTTAGCCTGGAGAAAAGGAGGCTCAGGGAGTCCTCTATTGCTCACTACAATTGCCTGAAAGGAGGGTTTAGGTAGGTGGAGTTGGTTCACTGCACAGCCAGGAGCACACCAAGACCGCCATCAGAGATTAAAAAAGGCTTGTGACTGTGTGTTTAAAAAATAGGGACCATCTTTAATCTTTCTCCGTTGGATGTAATTCACTCAAACACATCTGACCTCATTTAAATATAATTAAAAGTCTCTACATAGTAGTTGTAGGTATAGTTTCTATTATGACAACTTCTTCCACAGTTTGATCCTTTTCCCAGTGTCTAAACCTGACAAGATCATACAACCAGACCATCTGCCATTTTACTCAGCATTCCAATAAATGGCTGTCCTTACACAGGGTTTACCTTTCTGCAAGTGAAAACAGTTCCAAATGGTGTTAAACTTTCCTAAGTGGCAGATATAAAGACAAAGCTACTGTAGTGGAAAAAATCTTTTCACAATTACTGTACTACAAAAATAAAGGGGCTTCTGCTTCAATTCCAAGAGCCATGGTATTTCCATGAGAAATACAGCTGGATATGCAGGGCAGCACCTGTTTTGTGTTCAGCAGCTGTCACACAGCCCAACAGGCTATTAGTTATAGACCAACAGAGATTTTTCAGAAGTGACCCAGAGCCTGTTCTCAGGTCTCTTACAGACTGTGAACAACTTATTGGAAGATATCTTCTTTCTTGCCTTCAAAAATCTCATTTAGTTACTGTAATCCAATTCAAATTATAGAAGAAGGGCAAGGAGATTTGTCCTATGCACACTTGCAGTGTCTTTCATTCCTTGATGCTAGTTTTTTTCATGGTTTCCCAGATAGCCTGGGAAAGCTCATTAATTCAGTAATCCAAATGAATTTGCTACAAACCCAAATGGCTCCTCTAGTCTTTGTAGAAGTCCCCATTCATCCTTCAGGAAAACAGCGTTCAGCACTAAAAGTAGTGGTGCTACCACAGCAGAAACAGGAAACTTTGGGTTTGTGGCTCTCTGTGAAAGACTTGTGAAATCACCTGGAATGGCTGTCATACAGCTGACAGTATCACTGTCACACACCAGACATCAGTGCCAGATGCACAAGTTAAGTCTGAATTAAGGTCTAGTGTGAGGGTTTTTCCCCTGTGGGAAGGCAGAATGTCTAGGAGAAAAGGTTGTAAGGAATTCAGCAGGGAGGCATATAAGACAGTCTCCCAGCATATGTGTTATCATTTGCTTGACTCCAATGCTTCAATTTCTGTCAGTCATTGGTTTTAAAGTGGCTGAGTTTAAAATGCTAACCACTGCTGAAGTCACAGGCCAGCCATCAGACCACACTGACACCAAACCTGCTGGAGAGGAGACAGCATGGAAGAACTATGTCCCCATGGCCATTTCTGCTCAGGACTTGAGCTAATGCCCAACTCTTACTAATTCATGTCACTCATTGTCGCTGTGTCTTCATATAAAATTTTCTCTCCCCCCCCTTTTTTTTTTTTTTTTTGTCTCATTATATAGCACACTAAACTAGAAGACACTTTGGCTGAAGCAGATCAAAAAAGTAAAATTTGTTTTGGGAAATAAACTTATCTCAAAAATTCAGCTCATCCCAATTTTAATATAATGTACACTCCTAACCCCTCTACAAGCTTTAGGCTTGTTAGGAGACTGTGGGGATTTTCCGAATACCATTTTCTTCTTATGTCTGACTGTTTCAGAAGCAAAGTTGACATGAGTTACCAGTGAGCAAGCCCAGGAAGAAATCAGATCTGAGTACTTCCTGAGTACTCCAGAAGAATGGAGAAACTAAAACAATAAACATGAATTGAGGGCTTTATGAGATCCCAAAGACTATAGGCTATGCTTAAGCCTGAAAGAAAAGAGAAAGGTGAAGTAGTTCAAGACTCAAGAGTGTAAGCTGGTTTACATAAGAGTCACAGTAGGTAGTTTTAACTGGAACACACAAGGGCAAACACAGTTCCACTGTAGCTGTCTATGAAACACCAATTAGTTTAGTACATTCAGATGAAAAATCTGCAGCACAGGCATTTGACAGCTATAAATCATGTAAAAATTGTATTTGTGCTGAAATCTGAATTTTCTGTTACTTTACGTTCACCACAACATTTGTAAACAAAAGAATCTCTTAAAGGAATTCAAATACCTGCTAATTCATAATTGCATAAATAGTTTCACTCAGCACTGGTATTCAGTAATAAAAAAATCATTTTCTAATGCAGTCCTACTCTGACAATAGCATTCATCTCATTTAAATCTTCTATATTACATATATATTTTTCCCTTCAATACATCATTTAGGTTATGGTTTATGTCACAACATCACATAACACAAATCAGCTTCTGCTTAGGGGGATAACTAGAGGATGCAGGAATAAAAAAGGACCATTTCTTTCCATCTACTTAATTTAAAAATTTGTATTTGAAAAAATCCAACAACATTATTAGAAAGCAATTTATATATTGGGCTGTTAATTTGACAAAAAATTGTGTAGGCAGTTAAAATATTGTAAGCAATATCACATGGTTTTAACAAACTACTTGGAAAACTCTTACATAATATCCAAATAAATAAATATGGATAAAATAAATAAGGTAAATACATAAACCTCAAGGGTTGCTAAGTTTGAATACAGTAATTTTGCAATTGTGTTTTAACATGGAGCCTAGGTCCCATGGCTGTGACAGATTGAGCACTACAGAAACTTTACTCTTCCCCTCAACAGGGGCTAGAAGATCACTCTAATGGCTCCCTCAGGCTGGGTTCAAGGAGCAACAGCAACACCATTGGAAAGGCTGCAAAATTTGATACCTTCTTTTGTAACCTACTACCCTCAGGCCAAACTGCAGAGCTTTCACATGAAGGGATGAAGAGAATAAAAAGGAGACTTTTGTCTGTCTTATACACAACAAAAAAAATGGATTTCCAGTCTCACAACAGAGAAAAACACCTTCCTGTCCTGTCACCGGCAGCAAGGCTGTGGCCCTACTCAGTAAGCCCCTGAAGGAAGAAGCTTTTCATTAACTGTGAAAGTATTAACACTGCTAATCCATGAACATTCAAACCACACCAACAGGAATGAGAATGGCCTAAAAATCTTTATTTTTAAATAGAATTTTCAATACATTTTTAAAAATATGCTTATGCATTTTCACTATCTTCTCTCTCCTGAAGTTTTATAATAAAACTCAGTCTTACTGTAAATTTTTTTCACCCCTCTCCCCAAAACTGGAAGTACTTGAAAGAAAATGCGTTTTGTAAAAAGGAGCAGCAAAGCTTCACAGAACTGTTCCTCTCCAGGTGCAAAGATCACAAATATAAACCAATATCTAGAGGCTACAGTGCTAGACTGAAGCTAGACTAAGTGCTTTGCAAAACACTCACTTCATATTTAAATTTTTATTTTTTTTTAAAAGCCAGCCAGTGACTGAT